GGTTAAATTGCGAAATTTAACTGTAAGAACGGGCATATGTGCTACAATTTTTATTATTCTTAAAATAAATAACAAACCAATTATAAAATTATTATTCCAATTTTAACACAACAGACAAAATACAAATCAATTAGAGGCTTGGTAACTCAAAAATCAACTGAAAACCACGGCCCACACATACAACATCGTGTACTTTATTGTGGGCCGGTGGGCCAACATCAAAATTTTTCTCGAGCCTTGAAAAGTTTTTAATTCATGTCAACCTTAGTTGTTTATATTTGTTTTCAGATCGTTTTTTTATAGCACAAATTATATAAACTAAAACCAATTAATTTAAATTGTCGTTGAATAATATGTAAATTTTTGCTGTGTTAATTTTACAAGAAAATTCAATAAATAATTATATATTGTTAATTCGTTCTTTGTTAATTAATTTTATTTTTTCAATGTGTTAATTATACAAGAAAAAATGTTAATAATAATTTAATGTTAATTTTATCTTTTCGTTAATTTTACTTCTGTTTTTATTGTGTTAAAACATAAAAAACGATAAATATTTACAAATTGTTAATTTATCAAAAACAATTTGATAAAAATTATTGAAGCTTCTGGAATCACAATTTAATATTACCTAATGTCCTGATTCTTTACGTCTTTCAAAGAATGGCTTTACCAAAAATGATTTTTTGCCGCAAAATACAACCTCTTCAGTCTTTTTTTTATGAAAAGCAAATTTTTCCGAGACATGAATTTGTCGGTTGGTTCTTTGAGTATCTGTAATAACAACAATTAAAAACAATCCCAGAAGGCGAGCTTGAGAAACTGTACTCTAAAATGTAATTTTTAAATCAACATTCATATATTTTATGTAATATAATTGTTTACATTTTTTTTAAATTAAATAATTATTATAATAAATTATATAAGTAACAATTTACTTTTGCAAATGGATCTCTAAAATTTACAATAACATGAGTCATCAAATCGATTCATTTTCAATGCAAATAATTCTTTTTTATTTCAATGAGCCTGCAGACTTTTTATCTCTTATACAGGTTTGCAAAAAGTTCGTGTTTTTACTTGACCGTTTCAGAATAAATCCAATTCGCATAACTCAACACACTGTCAAGTTATTTCCAAATATTCAGACTCAACAAATCTTCACCCCAATCGATTTGAAAGTCAAAGTTGACAGAACAAAAACTTTATATCCTGTTTCATACGACACTTATGAGACGAAAACGACTCCATTTGATACCTTTCGTACAATAAAATATACAAATGATGATTTTAAAATATATGGTCAACCAATTCCAGAAGTCGTTTCTCAGTTAGACATAAGTGCATTGGCGAGTGCTCAAATAACACATTTGGAGATATCAAGTCGTCTCACTTTGATACGTGAAAATTCGTTTGAGAACAATTTGTTCACAAAATTGGAACTTCCATCAACTCTTGTCAACATTTGTAAATCAGCTTTTTCCAATAACAAAAAGTTGAAGGAAGTTGTATTACCTAATACGATAACAGTCCTTCCCGATGCTATTTTTAGTGGGTGCAAATTGCTTGATAAAATCAATATTCCGAAGAGTCTCAAGTTGATAGGAAGTAAAGCTTTTTCGTATACCGGCCTTCCTTCTTTTGAAGTGTTAGAGAACTTCACTGTCGGCACTTCTGTGTTTGAAGGGTGTAAATATCTAACTAAAATTACATTTAGTGGACAGTCAATTGTTCCTCGAAATCTGTGTATGTCATGTGTTCGTTTAAAAAGAGTTAAATTTGATGATTCAATAACTGTAATTTCAGATGACGCTTTTAATTGTTGCTCTTCACTTGAAGATTTTGTTATTCCTAAAAATTTAAGAACGATTGGAAACAAAGCTTTTTACGAGTGTACTTCTCTTAAGATTCTGAACTTTTCAGAAAAAGTGTGTTATGTTGGAGAAGCCGCATTTTGTGGGTGTGAAAGTCTTGAAAAACTCATTTTTGAAAATGAAAAAGTTGTATTTGGCGGAGTCGGCGTTTTTTGACGATGTTCTAATTTAAAACAATAAAAGTTCCACTGAATAGCGGAAAATACAAATTTAAATCGACAAGAGGGGAAGTCGATATTCTGATGAAATTACATATCACCCCATCAGAAGTGGTTTTAAATACATCAAATGAACTCCACACACTTGTTGATCAAAATCAAACAATGCTAATAAAAGACGTGGTTTCAATAGAAAAAGTGAGCGATTCTATGCATCAAATTGTTGATATTTCAAAGTGTGTGGATTTAATACAAAGCAATGGACTTATGACAATGCAAAACCAATCCCTTTTTATTCCATCGACAATTGTCTTAAATGGAAAAAGTGCTTTGAAATTTTGCTTTGAACTCACAAGTCTTGTCATTCCAAAACACGCATTTTTGGTTGTCGATAATCCTATTGATATCATGAATTTAAGGACAGTCATCCTACCTACTACACTCACAAAAATTGGACCAAAATTACCAATAACAGCTCGACTCGAATATATTGAGATCCCACAAAACGTCGTGGAGATCGACTCACATGTTTTCTATAATAATCAACTATTGACTGCGCTCACCATTCCTAATGGAGTCACAAGAATAGCCGATGACTTCGCTGTTGATTGTGATGATCTCCAAAAACTCGAGTTTTCAGATCACACCACAAAGAAAGTAAGAAACGGCGTTGAAATTGACTTGACCAAAATACTCGAAAAGCACCAACAAATCCTTTGGGTGAGTTCTATTAAAAATGGGACATTAAAAATAGATTCTTTCATACAGTTTGATCGTTCTTTAACAAAACTCGACATTCCAAGTTCAGTCAGTTATATAAGGAACAACGCTTTTGAAACTCTTTTGTATTTAAAAGAAATTAAATTACCAAACGACCTCAAATTTATTGGAAAAAATATATTTGGGTTGATAACGTCTTTGACTACAATTGATTTTGGCAACAACGATATCTCTAAATTTGCAGTTCCTTTCGACTTTGCACTTCGAATGTCACAAAAAGGAATATTTTTCACAAATATTACTTTTGGGGATTATGATTATAAAAATTACAATTACGGTTTTAATATCTACGAAATGTCAAAAATCACAAAATATGTCATTGGAGACCTTCATAATAACAAACTTTTTGATGAAATTCCCAACTTTTCTGGTCTGTTTGGTGACATGTATTTTTCAACAAGCAAACTGAATCTGCCAAGCACTTTAACTGAAATAGCGGAGTCAGCATTTACATCTTTAGAGATCAATTCTATTGATATAAAACCATTAAAAGAAATTCCAAAAATGTGTTTTGCGTATTGCAAAAGTCTCACCAAAGTCGTATTTTCGAGTGAACTTTCAAATATTCAAAATGAGGCTTTTAAAGAGTGTGTATCATTGAAGACTATAATTCTACCAAAATCATTGAATGAAATTGGGGAAAATGCGTTTGAAAAGTGTTTCTGTCTTGAGCATGTTTATTGTGACAACGAAAATGTTGTGTATAACAAAAAATGTTTTTCAGAATGTTATTCATTGGTCGCAATTCCAAAATTGAAAAACGTTAAAAACGGCGCTTTTATGGAGTGCACATCACTCAAAAGTGCAACTCTGGTTGATGGATGTACCAAAATTGCAGATTTGCAATTTTTTAAGTGTTTTTCTTTGAGTACAATTGAAGTTCCAACAAGTGTCACTAGAATTGGTGTTTTTGCGTTCAGAAAGTGCATTTCACTCAGTGATTTATCATTTGGAAAAAACATTACTATTGTTGATGATGGCGCTTTTATGGACTGCACTCAGTTGAATAATGTCGTTTTTGGAAATAAAAATATTTTAGGAAAAGTTGACCTGTTTGAGGGATGCATTTCTTTAAGATCTTTGCATTTTGGAGCAAATGTTGATACATATGCATTTGAAGTGAGTTACTCGATGTACGACCTAATGAAAGTGTGTGGTGTTTTATGCGAAAATGTCTGTGTGAAACGAGCAGATGTAACTAAATACGGACTTTCATATGTTTTGAGTGAAATGCAAACAAACAAAAATATCCATCGAATTGATGAAGGCTGTTTCTTTACAAACGATGAAATCGTAGAAGTTGAGATTCCCAGTCAAATCACTTCAATTGGAATTTTTGCATTTTATGCGTGTGTAAAACTTAAGAAAGTTGTTCTTTCAGAAAGCATCACAGAAATTCCAGAATTTTGTTTTTCAAATTGTACAAATTTGAAAGAAATTGATATCAAAGGTAAAATTGAAAAGTTTGGGTTTAATTGCTTTGAACTATGTGATAAAATCAAAAGCAATATTGAAATTCCAATATAATGCAAAAACAAAAAAAACATTAATTCAGTTTATTAAAACAATTTACTTTGAAATTTCATATTATACAGATATAATAATTATTTTTTGATACAGATATGGGAAAAACCAGAAACCAAACTAAATTAAATCGTTTTTTGTATAAACTTTTCTTGTCAGAGATAAAAAACAAACAATTACGGTTTAAACACGTTGGAGTTTATTATGTGTTTTTTTTTCAGAAATTTATTCTATTATAACACAACATACTGTTTTGTCGAACTATTAAAACAATTTTTTGGATAACAATTTTACTAATTAATTTTTAAAATTCAAAACAATAATACTGATCGAGTCCTTGATGAAAAAAAAACGTTTTTGATTATGAAAAAAATTAATATTCAAACAGTTACAGTTCGTTTTTAGTATTTTTTAAATCAATATCAAATTAAGTCATATATTTAACTTTGAATATTATTATGAAGATACTTAATTTTAGCGACGGTTGTCGAAGTTAATCTTGTTAGAAAAAACAGACGTACTATTCTCTACAATTGAAAGCATGTATATTAAAAATAATAACACTCTATAAATTTGTATAATTCAAGTTGATGAAATATCACTTCGAGTAACAACAAAACACTTATTACAAACCTTTTTCGT